GGGAAATGGGGATATTTGTAGCCCGTAAAACTGTACTAGATTGAGGGAATTGGATATTATATGATTTCTCGTTCTAAATGGAGCTAATCATAAGATGTTGGAACTGGATTTGAATGTTATCTGCATTTCTTTTTACAGGATGAAGGAGTTGTTAAAGAAATCCCTATTACTCATCATGTTAAGGAAGGATATGAGAAAGCAGATCCTGCACAGTTTGAGTTGCTCAAGGTTCTTGGTCAGGGATCATTTGGAAAGGTAATGAATATTTTTTCCACATTTGTTTCTCTTCTAATCATTTAGAAAAAAGTGTACACATAGATAGAAGTCCAAATGTGCCATTTCTAAACTTCTCGAAGGATGCACACAAAGGTAATTCTTTAATTTTATTCCTTTTATTTCTGTTATACTTTTATTGCCATTTCTTTACACTTCTCTGTAATAATAAAGGTTTTCCAGTCTTCTGGGCTTACTGGTTTCTCTAGGGGAAAAATGTAGCATGTTCTTTATTAGCTACGTAAATCAAGATAGTTTGATTTTTGTAAAACTGATTTTCCTTATCTCCCTGTTCTCGTGCTGGTATGAACACAGCTTGCTCTCTCCTGGTGATCTCATCTATATTTCTTAGCTTTATGACAGAAGTCAGAATTTATGTCTTAATTCATGTATGAATTCATAAGTTCATCTATTATCTGTTAAAGCAAAATAGAACAAGGGTGTGTAAAGTACAACAAAGTAGGTACTGGGTGATATATAGATTGTATGAAACTCAAGGAGCTTAAATTTCAAGGGGAAAAGCAAAAATGTCAAAAGTTAACTCTTACACTCATTATTAGAGTTGTTTATTAAGTGCTTAATAGCATATGTTTCTTGGAAGAGAAGCATGTAGGTCTGCTTCCTGACATTTGTATACCTAACATCTAAGACATGAAAATTATTGCATATATACAGAAAGTAACAGCCTTTAGGAAAACAGTGACAACCACAATTTATGGGGAGAAAGAGAAACTACTAATTTCAGAGTGGCTGCGGTTTAGTTTTAAAGGAGAAAAGTAAGGCAATTGAGCAGCAATTATTTTTAATGCTCTGGAACATTTTAAAAGAAAAAATTATTAAGCACTCGGTGTGTGCATGACAGTTGTACAATCAGTATCAGTGAATACAAAATAGACATTGATTGTCTTAAAGTGGCCAGATATCTGTGCAGTATAGAATATAACATGAAATATATAGAAACATTTTCAGAATACAAAAAGAACAAACTAAGAAGGATTATGTCAAAATGATTTGATTCCTTTGCTTTGTCTAATCACAAGTACTCTTTGAAACTATTAGAAGAAAACATTGGGGAAACACTCCAGAACGTTGGTCTGGGCAAAGAATTTTTGAGTAAGACCTCAAAAGCACAAGAAAAAAAAAAGCAAAAATGGACAAATGGAACTACATCAAGTTTAAAAAGCTTCTGCACAGCAAAGGAAACAATCAACAAAAAGCAGAGACAACCTATAGAATGGGAGAAAATATGTGCAAACTATTCATCCAACAATGGATTAATAACCAGAATATATAAGAAACCCAAAAAACTCAATAGCAAAAAACAAAACAAATGGATTTTAAAAAACCCACAAAAAATCTGTTTTAAAAATGGACAAAAGATCTCTGAATATCTCTGACCTGTATCATTTTCTTTCATACCACATCCTAATTCATCATTGACCCAATACAAAAATTATTTTAAAGCCCCATAAACCAATTTTTGGAAGAAAGCATCACATTTTTCTTTTTTTCATTCCCTATTATTTTATACTACAATTTAACCCTGCTATACAAAGTTTATGGTTGGTCATTATTTTGGACTAGCGTCCTGTACTAGGCCCCAGCAGACTAGAACAAACCAGAATGAAGTCACTTGTGCTAAGTGCCACATAATCAAATTCTGAAATGGGCCAGTTCTCCTCATAAATAGGAGATTCACAGCAACCAATCAGAAGGAGCCCAGTTTATCTGAGCTGGAATGATAATAAAGTTCCCTCTGTTTAAACCTTATAAGGAAATTAACTTGGAAATGACCAATCTACTTTTTGTTCTCTGTTTCTGCTTTCTTCAGTCCTTTTCTTCCCATAAAGCCAGACTCTTTTGCTCAGCTCATCGGAACATTCATATTATTTCATAGAATGAGGTGCTGTGCAATTCTAGAATTGCAAATAAAGCCAACAGATCTTTAAAAAAAGGATTATGGCTTGGCAGTGAATTGGTACAGGAGATGTATAAGACAAGGAAATAGGACTTGAACAGTGTGCTGGGGAGAGAAAAGCTAGAAGGACATGTTAATAGATCGGTGGTGGTGGCGGTGGCGAGTGTTTATAGAACTGACTTGTAGAGTAGGCTCTTGCATTCTACACACCTTTATTTTAAAATTTCTAAAAGTACAGTATTCTTTTGACTATTTTGCACTATATAACTGTTTTTATGGTATTAATTTTAAAGGAACAGAGATGAAGTTTTATATATATATCCCAAATGTATACATGCTTAAATATTTGACTTAAGTAAAAATCTCACCAGGCAAACATTTCAAGCCATTAAAACTAATTCTTTTGTCATTTGATGTAAGTATTTATTTATCTCTGGCTTTGCTCCAGAAAGGATTTAAGGCTTTCATAGATGAATACTAAATAAAATTAAAAATACATAGTGAAGATGATGGAAACAGAGAAAAATCAGAGCAGGAGAGAATAGATGAAACCAGGTATACTTTGTTCACATATGCATGACCTAAGAGTCTATTAGTCTTTTAGAAGTGGGGCTAAAAATGAAGACTTAAGTTTCTGGAAGTTATATAAAGAAGCTGGTATATTCAAGTGTATGATTATTGACAGTGTTTTTAAGGTAGAAACAGATAAAACAGACAAGAGAAATTTCTCTCATGGGTCTTCATAAAGAAAATACTGTATAACATAATAAAATGTCTTTGATAACATATTCACAAATAGCAACATGCTGACAAGTTGTTAATATAGTCCTTAAATTCAGGCAACACTCAGCTTTATCTGTGCAGGAATTTGGGTTTAACAAGGTTATTATTGAAGCCTTATTAAAATTCCTAATATTAAAATACAGAATAGAGATCTTTGTGCAGTTCACTAATCAAAGAAATATTACAGAGGTGGCTTTGTTTTCTCTTTGTTTTATTTTTTTTCTTTCTTTTCATTTTCCTTTCCTTTCCTTTCCTTTCCTTTCCTTTCCTTTCCTT